ATTAGGGGTGTGAGTGACGGGAGCGGGAGGCAATGGGGCGGTGGAGCGGGGCCTGCTCCGCGGCCATGGCGGCGCTGCTGGCGCGGGGGCTGGTGCGGGGAGCGCTGCGTGCAGGGGAGGTGCGCGGGGGAACCGGAGCGGAGGGGGTTGGGGGGGGACGGACACCGGAGGAGGGAGGGCAGGGAGCGGGGTATGGCCGGGCCCGAACGTGCGCTCCGCGGCGGGGGGGTTCCGCACGGCTCCCTTGCGGGCCTCCTTCCCGCACACACACACACACACACACACACCAGACCCCATGGGTGTCAGCTCCGTGTGCGCTCCCCTGTCACTCCCACGGGTGTCACCTATGCGTGCACCCCCTGTGACCCCCATGCGCACTCCTGATCACCCCACCATGCACCTCCCATCACCCCCGTACCCACCCCTCGTCACCTTTGCACGCGTGTTCCCCGCCCGTTCGGTCCGTCCCCGTCCCCCCCCCCCCCAACTTCGTTCCCCTCCCAGCAGCGGATCCGGTACCTGGTGACCCCCCACACCCCTTCCGTCCCTAACGGATGCCCCCCCCCCCCCCGCCCAGCACGCGGGTCCAGTCCTCCCGTGTGCATCCCGTGGCATCCCCTGGTTGTGCCCGTCCGGTCCGTTACCCCGTCCCACCCGTCCGTCCCACCCCCGGCTGTAGGCCAGGTCCCCCCGTGGGCATCCTGTGACCCCCCCCCCCCCCCCGGTTCTGTCCGTCCGTCCCCTCCCGTATCCCCGTGCCCCGGCCGAGGCTCCGGTTTCCTCCTAACCCCTCCGGTGTACCCCCCGGTGCAGCGCTGCACGTCCGGCGGTCGGGGCGGGGAGGTGGACAAGGCGCATCGGGCGGCGGCAGCCGGCGAGGATGCGGGGGGACAGCCCACCATCTTCAGCAAGATCATCGCCCGTAGCGTGCCCGCCACCATCCTCTATGAGGACGACAAGGTAGCGGGGACCCCCGGCAGTGTCCCCATGGAGGAAGGGTGCAGCACCCATGGGAACGGGGCTCACTCTGCTTCCCCCCCCAACAGTGTTTGGTCTTCCGCGATGTGGCCCCCCAAGCCCCTGTCCACTTCCTGGTGATCCCCAAGTGCCCCATCCCCCGGATCAGCTGTGTGGGTCCCCAGGACACTGAGGTGAGGCCGGGGGGGTTCCCTGTGAACGCTGGGGGGGGGTCAACACTCAGTGCTGCCCCTTATGCTGCCCCCTCCCCACCACAGCTCCTGGGGCACTTGCTGGTGGTGGCTGCTCGCACGGCACAGGCGGAGAGGCTGGCTGATGGGTACCGCCTCGGTGAGTTGGGGGTCCCAGGGGGCTGGGGGTGTCCGAGGGGGTGTCCTGAGCCTCTGTCCTTTTCTCCACAGTGATCAATGATGGGAAGCATGGTGCTCAGTCTGTCTACCATCTGCACATCCATGTGCTTGGGGGGCGGCAGCTGGGGTGGCCCCCTGGTTGACCCCCCCCACACTATCTGATGCTCCCCAGTAAAGCATCTCCTTGGTGGTGGCTTCATTGGCTCTGTGTCAGGGTGGCTCTCAAGCGTCACAGTAACAGGGACATGGGTGGAACTGGGTGCCTTGCTTATTGGAGGAGGTGTCTGAGCTCCCCACATCCCAACCTGCCAACACTGGAGATGCTCTGGGACCCCCCAGTTGGAGAAGGAGGTTTTTGGGGGGTGCCCACATCCCACAGACTAAAGGCCCATCGGGAGGTCAGGGTTCCCAAGCTGGGGAACGTCCCAGCAGCGCCCCATGCCCTGAGCTGCCCACCCAGCCCCACTGCCACAGCAGAGCCCCAGCACTCCTGCGTGCCCCTCACCCTGCCTTTGGGTGACCCGTTTGTGCACCATAATGTAAAACTCACTGCACACCTTACCCCGGACCCCCTGCGCTTGCAGCACTGTGCAAAGCACATGGCACTGCTCACCCCAGACACCCTGTGCTATTGCACTGTGAACAGCAGAGCTCTGTGCATGCACTACTGCGCACAAAACAGTGTTGCACGCCCCAGAGCCCTGTGCCTGCATTGTGCTGTACACCCCAGACCCATTGTGCATGCACCCCTGTGCAAGTGCTGCACACCAGCCCCTCATGCATGCACCACAATGCAAGTGTTGCATACCCCAGACCCCTGTGCAAAAGCGTTGCACTCAAGACCCCTTGTGCCTGCATTGTGCTGTACACCCCAGACCCCTTGTGCATGTACCCGTGTGCACGTGCTGCACACTCCAGACTCCTGTGCATGCACAACTACGAAAAACAGTGTTCTACATCCCAACCCCCTGGGCCTACTTTGCACTCTCAGGACCCCTTGTGCCTCCATTGTGGTGCACATTCCCAACCATTGTGCGCACACCAATGTGCAAATCAGTGCTGCACACCCCACACCCCTTGTGCTTGCATTGTGCTGTACACACCAGGCCTTTGTGCATGCACCCCTGTGCAAGTGCTGCACACCAGCCCCTCGTGCATGCACCACAGTGCGAGTGTTGCATCCCCAAGACCCCTGTGCAAAAGCATTGCACACTCAAGGCCCTTTGTGCCTGCACTGCCCTGCACATCCCCATTCCTTGTGCACTCACCACTGTACAAAACACATGACATCGCACCCCATGCCGCGGGCAGCACTGCACACATGCATGCCTCTGTTCACACACACGCCCCACACACATATGTCCCTGTGTCCCCACTGCCCTGTGTCCCCACACATGCTCCGAGCCCGGTGCCTCCCGTGCACCGTGCTCTGGGGCTATATTTAGTGTTGGTGCCGGTGCTGTGGCGGCGCACGTCGCACCTGGCACCGGTGCCAACCGCGCAGGGACCGCAGCACCGCGGCGTGAATGGCAGCTCTGTTCTGCACGGCGCCGGCGGTGGGGCCCCTGGAGAACCGTGGTGCTTCCACACACGCCCAGTATAGCACGGGAATGTTTTCAGGGTGCAAATGAGCCTTGAAGATGTTGGATGATGATGGCGATGATGCGGGCGGCCGGGACCTGGCCGAGCTGCAGGGCAGGATGGAGATGGTTATGGACATGGGATAGCCCTGCCTTGGGGCTGCAGAGACCAGGGGGTGGGGGTCCCTGGGACTGGGAACCCCCAAAAGAAGATGGGTGCCTCTGGGGAGGTGGGGACCCCAAAGAGGGGATGAGGTTCACTAAGCAGGTGGGGACCCCAAAGAGGGGATGAGTGCCCCTGCCGAGGTGGGGACCACATAGAAAGGATGGGGGTCCCTGGGGACCCCAAAGAGAAGCTGGGGTTCACTGGGGTGGTGGGGACCCCAAAGAGGGGGTGGGTGTTCCTGGGAAGATGGGGACACCAAAAAATAAGATAGGTTCCCTGTGGAGGTAGGACCCCAAAGAGGAAGTAGGTGCCCATGGGGAGGTGGGTTCCCCAAGAGGGGATGGGGGTCCTTGGGGAGGTGGGAACCCCAGAGAAGGGGTGGGTGTCCATGGAGGGTGGGGACTTCAAAGAAGAACTGGGGTTCACTAGAGAGGTGGGAACCCCAGAGAGGAGCTGGGGGTTCCTGGGGAGGTGGGGACTTCATAGAAAGGCCAAGGATCCACAGTGCATCATCCCGCCAAGCCTACCCAGAGCAATCCCCCAGGATGGGGCATAGGGCAAGAGCCTGCACACGAGGTCAGGGTCCGTACGGCTGCAGCCACGTTTCCTCCTGCGCAGGGTTTATTTTGTCATTCCCCAGGCAGCAGAGGGGTCACAGCCCCATGGGGCCGGGGGGCAGGGGAGCAGCGGCTGTTTTCATTCCTCAGCTGAACGAAGACTATCACAAATGACGCAAGTTCCCAAAAGAGCCGAGCAGGGGGAGTGATGGGGGATGTGTCAGCCAGGAGAGGCAGCCAGATGTGCTCCAGCAGCTGCCGCGCTGCTGCCCCACGGCGATGCTGCCTGCCAGGGTGCAGCCCCGCAGTCATGCCCCCTATACCCCCCTAGAGTGAGTGCACACCCCCAGGCTGGCATTGTTGGGTCCCCGTCCCACACTGTGCTGTGGTGCCTTTGTTGTCCTGTAGTCACCCATGCTGCCTGGCTACGTTTCCGCCTCCCCCAGGGTGTGGCATCCAGGGATGCTGCTGGGATGAGCACCCTGGAGTGGAAGCTGGGGCAGGACACCCCCCTCCAGCATGAGCTGGAGCACTGGTGCAACTCAGCCCAGCCCAGGACACGACCAGCAGCTCTCCACCCTCCCAGCGAACCCCCAGTGCTTGGGACACCCTGACCTCCAGTGGCGTCAGGCCCTGATGCAGTCCCGCTGTGGGGGGCCCCTTTGCTGGAGCCTGAGCTCCAGGCATGTCTCTGCCTCCTCCCCGCAGCTGCGCTGCAGATGGGCTCGCAGCAGCCCCTGCTTGGCCCGGAGCCGAGCGCCCGCAGGGAGGAGCGGTCCCCCTCGGGGGCCCCGGCTGTCCGAGGCCAGAAGGGCCGGGCACATCCCGGCCAGGAAAAACAGAGGCCCCATGGCCAGGCGTGCGGCGGCCCCGTCGGCACACACCGCAGAGAGCTGGAATAACAGCCCTCGTGCCGGAGCCCGCCGTGCGCTATCAAAGGGCCCTTCTTCTGCCTGAAGAACGGGGGCCCAGCGAGGGCTGGCAGCGAGGGGAGCTGCCCCACGCCGTCGGGGGGCACCCACTGCGTCCAGCCAGGGGCTGGGCACATCCCGCCCCATCACCCTGTGTGTGCCCGAATGGTGTTGGGGGATCACTTGGATCAAGCCATGGGGAGCAGTGTGTCCCCAGTGCGGGGCTCGTCCCGCCGGCAGAAGCCGAGCTGTGCCAGCACGGGCACGGTGCCCACCCGGCTTCCACTGGAAGAGCCTCTGGGGCAGGTCCGAGGCACCGGGGCCTTGCGGGAGAGGGGGACACGCACGGACCCATAGCGGGGACAGACCCCGGGGCTGCCATGTGCCTGCACGCCCCTGCCCCGGCCACGCCTCCCTCGAGCAAGACCGCTGCGCTTTGGCCCCGCCCTCTCCCTTCTCTCCGCCAATAGAAGACGCGCGTTCACCCGGCGCCACCAATCAGCTTGCGGAGCGGCCTGTGTTTACGGTCTCCATGGAGACGGAGCAGTTCCTCTCGGTGCAGGCGCCATGGACGGGGCGCCCCACGGGTGGGTGAAAGGACATGGGGTGACCCCCGACGGAGGCGCTTGGAGGGCAGGGGTCTGGGGGGGGCTATGGAGCACTATGGGAATGGGGGGGTAGGAAGTGGGGGGGTCTGGGGTACGGCCTGGGGGGGTGGCTCCTGGGGAGGAGGTAGGGGTAGAGCCTGGGCTGGGAGCTGCGGAGCCCTGGGAGGGGACACGGGGGGCGGAATGGGACATAGTGGGGAGCTGAGCCTGGGCTGGGACACTGGATGGGGGAGAGGGGAATTATTGGGGGGGGGACGACACCTTTCTGAGCGTGGGCACTGCTTCTGAGCCCAAAGGGAGAAGAGTCCCTTGTCCCCCACCCCGGGGTGGGGGTGACACTACGGGGTACCCGGCCTCAGGGTCCTGCCCATGCTGGTGGGGGGCTGCAGGCAGGGCAGGGAGGCTGAAAGATGCACCCCACCGCCTTCCCTCAGGCACTGCCCCCCCTCGCAGGGTGGCTCTGCCAAGCCATATGCACCCTGAGGAGAGGCCACTGTACACAGATGGGGCCCAAAGCCATGTCCTCCTGCCTGAGGTGCCCATGGAGAAGGCTCCGTGTGATGCACTGACAGCCATGACCGAGCTGCCTGCCGAGGCCCTGCCAGCCGTGCCCGGCACGGTGACACCCACCGAGACTGACACGGAACTCTGTGCAGCCGAGCTGCCGCCCTGCCCGGGGAGCTGTGGGGCTTCTGCCTGCGAGGTGCCCTCCACCGTGGTGCTGCAGATGCCTGCACGGCAGCCCCCCAGGCTGGTGCCCCGGGGACGCTGCTTGATCCACAACTGGCAGGAGGAGGTAACTCCTCACCATGGGGGGAAATGTCCCTTCAAAACTCACCCCATCGCATCCCACGTGCTGATCACATGAAGCTCCCTGACCCTGAGCAGCCCCCTCTCTTTAAATAGCTTCCCTTGGCCAAGCTGGAGCTCCCTGGATGACCTTGAGCCCAGCGGGATGGAAAAGGGATGAAATTCAATAGCATAAAACACGGGCAAGAACGTGGGGCGCGATGGTGGGGCTGTGGGAGGAAAGCAGGGAGCTTGCTGCTGGGATGTGGGGATGCCTGCTTGGGCAAGCCAGGCTGGGGGGACATGGGCTAAGCTTTGCTTCAGCCTGGGGATCCCATAGTTTGCTCAAGTGCAATAAGAGCACTTGTCCTACATCAGGGCCCAAGCCACAGATGCCCCCACTCCTGCTTTCCCAGTGAGCTGGCTTGAAGGACCATTCCTTCCTTCCCCTCTTTTTGCAGCTCATGCCTCTGGGATTGCTCCCAGGTCCTGTCAGGCATCTGCCTGCATGGCACAGCCTCAGTTATAGGGCACTGCCCCAGACTGCAGCTGCTCAGCAGGAGGGGGGTGATGACCTCACCTCCCAACCCTGCACGGAGTCCCCAGTGGATTACCAAAAGCCTAAAAGCCAAGAGCGGGCACTGCAGGGTGGGCTCCTGCCCCCCTTCCCACAGCTTCCACCATCACTCTACAGAGAGCCACGAACCATCTGGATATCGTGCAAGGGCAGGAGCAGGGCAGTGAGGGCTTCATCCACCGGCACGGCCATCCCAGGCTGCTGTACCACCATCACCTCCCTGGGCCCAACAACAGCACCACCATGGACACCTACTGCCCGCCACATAGTGTCCTGATGCTGGGACAGGGTGAGGCTGAGCCCTGTGACCCCCAGAAGTCAGCAAGGGGATCAAAGCTGTGGGGCTCATGGCACCTTTTCCTCTCACAGGGCGGCGTGAGGCCATGCTGAAGGCCATGCTTTACCATAAATACAGGTGAGTCTGCATCCCTAAGTGCATGGCCATGACTTAGAGGAGGGGACCCTGCTGTGGCTGGGAGAGGCCCCAGCACTGAAGGGTGCAGGGTCTGCTCTGCCGCAGGGAAGAGATGCTGAAGAAGATCTCTCCCCCCGGATGCCCATGGAGTCAACATCTGTCACGCACCAGGATTACCAACCCAAGGGTTGCCTGTCCGCACCATCGCCCCCCTCCCAGGTACAGGCAGGGGACAGCCCCCTGACCCCCCAGCTTGTGGCAGCCCCCAGTGAGCCTGCAAGGCTCCCGTGTCCTCCTGGACATGCCATGCCCCTGTCCACTTGCAGCCTCATGACTACTTCACAGAGCAGCCCTGCAGCTTCTGGCTGGAGCAAGCCCGCAGCCTCACTGTAAGCCCCCCCCGGCACCCTTGCCTGCCAGCACTCAGAGGGCTCGGCTGCTGATCGGGACCTCTCCACTTCCCCCCCTCCAGGGTGTCACCAGCATCCGCAGCGGTGACAGCCCCTTTGCGAAGGACGCATCCTTCTCCACTCCCATCACTGAGTCCCTAGACCAGCCCCCGCCCTGCGCCCTGCTGACCAGCCGGCTACAGTCCCACAAGCAATAAATATATTGGGGTACGGGTGTTCTCGGCCTCCTTTCTGCCCCAGGGTTGTCCTCAGGCTGGGTGTTTGGAGGGGGAGCACCGTGTTCCCAGCATCCCGTGGGGCCATGCAGTGCAGGCACTGGGACACCCTCCATCCCCTCCGCACATCACTGGTACCCCAAAACACACTGTGGCCCTTGTGCAGGGAGGGAGAGCCCCTGGCACAGCCCCATCCCCTGGGACGCGCCCTCTTCCAGTTCCCCAGCGGGTGACACACGGTCCCCATCCCAATCCCCAGGCACAGGTGGGTTCCAGTAAGAGGCGGCTGCGGCGCTTCCAGATCATGAGCTCAGCGGAACGCACTGCAGCCCTCAGGCCAAAGCAAACCCCGCCGCACCGGCCCTGCCCTCCCAGCACCGCCCCGAGCCCTCGCCAGCCGCAGCCGCCCGGTGCCGGCCGCCCCTGCCCGGCCCCCCCCCAGGATGCTCCCTGCATCCATCGCCATCCCAGGCTCAGCTCCATGCTCGGGGGTGTCCCGTGTCCCTCACCACCGTGGGCAGAGCGAAGCAGAGGTCTGGGCACAGAGAGATTTGGGGAAGTTTGTATTTCCACAAAATAGTTTGCAGCGACTCCTATATTTACACCTGGGGGGGGGGGGGGGGGGTATTTACATGACCCGGTGGGGTTATATACAGGGGAGGGGAAGACTGGGGAAAGGAGGGGGGGGAGCCGCAGCATTGAAGCATGCCCTGGCCAAGGGATCAGACCCAGCAGGAGCCCCTGTATCCCCCTCCCCGGGTAGGGGGTGACATGGGCACAACTTCTGCCGGGGGGGCCAGGTACTGAAAAGAGATGGCAAAGTGCCTGCGGGGCAGCCAGGCCCCGGGAGAGGCTCAGAGCCAGCTGAGCCATAGGGCAGAGGGAAGGGAAAGCAGGGATAGAGGGTCCCCCGGGCTGGATCGCAGCAGAGGCTGCAGGGGGAACTGGTCTTTGCTGGTGCCAATGGAGGGGGCCAGGCAATGCCGTGGCCGCAGGCCCCCTGTGCCTAAGCCCTGCTGAAGCAGGGGGGCTGCAGTGCGTGTATGGGGGCTACAGTGATGGAGGGTGCCGGTGTATCCCAGGGGTCCAGGCACCGGGAATTGTTGGTTGCCCCATCAGGGCTGGGGCTCTGCCACTGCCACCAGGCTCAGATGGGGTCTTTCCTCTCACCCAGCAGCCAGTATGTCCGCATCTTCCCCTTGCCCTGGGGATGGAGGGGATGCTGAGACCCTCCCCACCTCCAGTGCTTGGTCCTTGGGTACAATCTCCAGCACCGAGGGGCACAAGGGGTCCCAGCCCCAACCCACCCACCCTGTGGCAGGAAGCGCTGTCACCCCACCGGTGTCCCTGCGCCCTCACCTTCATCTCCACATCCCCACGCAGCTCCAGCTCGAAGCAGCCAAACTCATCCAGGACCTCCTTGGTAGTGGATGATACGTGGATCTTCAGGGCTGGTTGGCACAAAGGGACAAAAAGAGACATGACTGGGTCTGGAAGCGGGGCATGATGTGCAGCACTGAACCCCATCCGCCTTCCCCATGGCTCACCCTGTCCATTGGACTCCATGCGAGATGCGGTGTTCACTGTATCCCCAAATAGGCAGTACCGTGGCATCTTCAATCCCACCACCCCAGCACACACAGGACCTGTGGGCACAGGGATGCTCGTGGCTGCTGCAGGGCAGACGGATGCCCCCCGGCTGCGGCACCAGCGCTCACCGGTGTGCACGCCGATGCGCAGCCGCAGCTGGTCATTGGGACGGTGCCGGATCTTGAAGGTTTTAACAGCCTCAAGGAGGGCCAGGGCCATGCGGACAATCTCACGGGCGTGCAGCTTCCCGTTGCGCACCGGCAGCCCCGACACCACCATGTAGGCATCCCCAATAGTCTCCACCTGCGGGGTCAAGGGCAGCAGGTATACCCCAGGCTCCTCGCTGCCTGCCTCACTCTGGGGGCTGAGCTTGCTGGTATCCCCCTCACCTTATAGACGTCAAAGTTGTCGATGATGGCATCGAAGCACGTGTAGAGATCGTTCAGCAGTGTCACAACCTGGTGAAGCAAGGGTGCATGTGGGGCTGGGAGTCGGCATGTCCCCCCCTGCCCCAGCAACGGCACTGCCAGGGTATGAGCCCCCATGCCAGGGCTGCCCCCCCAAGCCCTGCTCTCACCTGCATGGGAGTGCTCTCTGCCGAGAGGGCAGTGAAGCCCACGATGTCGCTGAAGTAGATGGTGACACTGTCAAAAGCCTCAGCCCGCACCGTCTCCCCACGTTTCAGCTGCTCTGCCACAGAGCTGGCAACGACAGCGGGTGACGATGGCAAGCTCCCACCACAACCCCATTCCCTCTGCACCCCTTGCATCCGTCTCCATGCATCCCAGCAGCGGATGCATGCTGACCCCACAACAACCCCAGACCCGCACACTCCCATCTCTCCCCCCTCTCACTGGGGCAGAATCTGGTAGAGGAGGTTCTCTGCCTTGCGCTTCTCCTCCAGGTAGGCCTGCGTCCGCTCCTCCACCAGCTTCTCCAGGTTGTTGGCATACTGCTCCATGCGCGACAGCAGGTTGTCCAGGATGCTGGTGCTGCCCTCCCTGCCGGGGTACAGTCAGTGGCACCATGGGAAGCCCCCAGCCACAGCCCCATGGCCATCCCTGCTCCCCCCACAGGGCCACCCTGCCCATTCACCAGCCACCCACTTGTTGAATCTACGGATGAAGATCTTGATCTGGCTGAAGTCGGGGCGCTCAGCCGGGTCCTGCGCCCAGCAGCGCTCCATCAGCACCGCCAGCTCCTCACTGTGCACCCCGATGTCGATGGAGGGCCGGAAGAACGGCTTCTGGCTGTTACGCACCTTCTGCACGATCTCTGCAGGGGGCAGCCAATAGTGAGCGCTGCAACCACCCCAGCAGGGATGGGACCACCCCACACCTTCCCCCCATGCCCACCTTTGGGGCTCAGGTCCATGCCCTCGATGTAGAAGGGGCCGTTGCGCAGCGCAACCTCCTGCACGATGATGCCGAAGCTGTAGACATCAGCTTTCTGCATGCCTGGGGTGGGCAGGCGCCCCTTCTGCAGCAGCTCTGGGGCTGTCCACAGCTTCTCTGGTGGGACACAGCCATGGAGTGGTGAGACAGGGCCACCCCACCCCCCTGGTCCCCATGAGCAGCCACTCACTGGCATAGAGGGCATGAGTGTCCTCGCCGTCGCAGGGCGAGCGGAAGCTGGCCAGCCCGTAGTCAGTGATCTTCAGCACGAAGCGGCTGTCCACCACGCAGTTGGATGACTTGAGGCTGCCGTGGTGGCCGATGATGCTGTTGTGCAGGAAGGCCATTCCCTGGGATGGACAGACAGGGTGAAGACGGCATCCCTCAGAGGCATCCCTCAGCCCTTTACGCGCCTTGCTTGGGTACCTTGACGATGTCATTGATGAGGGAGTGGCGGAACATCCAGTCCAGGTTGATGCTCTCATTCTCCAGGACATCCTGGAGAGTGGACCCCAGTTCAGTGGGATGGTGGCACTGCTATCAGCCCCACAAGCACCCATCTGCAGGGGGGCTCTGCAGCACCAATCCCCTCCCCTCCATCTCTGACTTCTTTTTGGGCACCTCTGCTGAGAGTCTTATGGGGCTTGTGTGGCCACCAACGTCTACAGCCCTGTCTCCAATGCCCAGCCCACCCAGCTCACCCAGCAGTGTCACCCAGTGCCCCTCAATTTCCCCTACCTGCAGGCTGCCCCGCGGGCAGTACTCAGTGACAATGCAGATGTTGGGGGGGTCAATGCATGCCCCAATGAAGCGGGTAAGGTGGTTGAACTGGATGTCCCGCATCTGCACATGGAAGCAGAGCCCAGACGGGCTTGAGGTCAGATGGGACGGGCTGCTGCTCCCACCAGAACCACCCCACAGCCAGGACCAGCCCCTGCACCCACAAGCAGGGCGCCCACCCGAGCCCAGACCCCAAACCTACGTGTTTCAGCTCAAAGAGCACCTGCCGCGTCAGCTCTATGCGCTTCTTGTTGATGTGCTTGATGGCCACCACATTGCCCTGGGGTACAGGGATGGGAGGAAGAGGCAGGGTTTGGGGAGGGATGGAAAGTGTCAGCATCTGGCAGGGCAGCGGTACAGCCATGGGAAAGAACCCCATTAGGGTTGGGAAGGGTTTAGGGGGGGTGGCTCAGTTCCCTGCCTGCTGCACTGACCTTGAAGTGGCCGGTGTTGGCAAAGATCTGGTACTTGCCATGGCTGGTCATGAGGGAGCCGTAGCTGGAGCCACGCTGTGAGGAAGGAGGGGGTTAGCAATGGGCATGCTAGGCTGGGGGGGTGCATGCAAGGGATGGTGCAGGACAAGCTCTGCATGCTCTGTAGGGAGGGTGAAGACTTTAGAATCATAGAATCACAGAATAGTTAGGGTTGGAAAGGACCTTAAGATCATCAAGTTCCAACCCCCCTGCCATGGGCAGGGACACCTCACACTAAAACATATCACCCAAGGCCTCGTCCACCCTGGCCTTGAACACTGCCAGGGATGGAGCATTCACAACTTCCCTGGGAAAACCATTCCAGTGCCTCACCACCCTCACAGTAAAGAACTTCCTCCTTATATCCAATCTAAACTTCCCCTGTTTAAGTTTTAACCCATTACCCCTTGTCCTGTCACTACAGTCCCTAATGAAGAGTCCCTCCCCAGCATCCCTATAGGCCCCCTTCAGATACTGGAAGGCTGCTATGAGGTCTCCACGCAGCTTCTCTTCTCCAGGCTGAACAGCCCCAACTTTCTCAGCCTATCTTCATACGGGAGTTGCTCCAGTCCCCTGATCATCCTCGTGGCCTCCTCTGGACTTGTTCCAACAGTTCCATGTCCTTTTTATGTTGAGGACACCAGAACTGCACACAATACTCCAGGTGAGGTCTCACAAGAGCAGAGCAGAGGGGCAGGATCACCTCCTTCGACCTGCTGGTCACCCTCCTTTTGATGCAGCCCAGGATGCAGTTGGCTTCTGGGC